ATTGTCTTGTTCCATTGGGAAGATGTCTCTACCTCCTCAATCTAAGAACAAATGCACTTGTTTTAGGAACAAATAACTTATCTAGATTTTGATTTTTTTCCAGTGTGAATAAAGTTAATGTGATATGTTGTTTATCAAGGGAAGGTTTGCAAGCATTTTGATTGTGGCCGGTTTCTCTGAAGCATCTTGCTAACCAGTTAGCAACTTAGTGCTAGCAGGTTCCCAATGGGAAATTCCATTGGGACCAAGTAGCACTAAATTGGTGACTTAGAAACGACGCTGTCAAGGAACGCTATGGACAGCGGAAACATGCAAGAGGAGGAGAGTTTAGTGTCGGAGGTCGTGGATGAGTCTCCTCTGTCATCCATTTTTTATTTAGAGGAGGAAAGCGGGGACGAAGATGTTGTGGAAGAGGACGCCAGGGCGGCAGAAGCTTGGTTTGGTGTAGAAGGCTTCCAGCCGTACATGTTTGAGCCCTTGCCTCGCAACGCTGCCAGTTCTGTTAGCTCTACGCCTGCCGAAGACACAGACGTCCATCCCCGTGAACACTGGGACGCAACTCAATGGGAAAGGAAAGGATTCTGATTTCAACCGTTGCGTATATTAGCTGCGACATATGAATCAAGATGCTATGACTGAAAAAATCTGATTGACAGATTATATGATTGGCCACATGTGTTAATAGATCAAAATAATACAGATGTGTCCAAAGTGCTAAATTGATGATATACATGTAATATGCATGGATTTATTACATTGTTATGTTAATTATAGCTTACATTTTTATCTTACATTTACAATCTTAAGATTTTACATCAAGACTGAATTACAAGTATGTCTGTATCGTATTTTCCTATTTGCAAATTGTGCATGCATGATTCCATATACTTTTCTGCTGTGTCTACATAGAATTCAAATATGAAATAATTACAATAGAGCTAAATTAATGAACCAAATTTAATAATTCCACAGTTTCTACACTAGCAAAATCACATAAATTGCTAAAATAACAGGCAACGTAAAGTTCATGTTTTGCCTTTTTCTTTTAGTAACAACAAGAATCTGATAATTTCAAAAAGCTAGTTAAATTACCTGTGGAACGTCTTGCCACAGGTGGCAAACTGCTTATTTTTGCAGCCAAATGCTACACAGGTAGACATTTTTACTGCGTGTCTCCGTGAGAGTTGGAGTACCAGCATGGCGGACGGTGGCTGCAATTTTTCGGGCAATCAGCACTCCAATGAATAAATAGAGATCAGTGGTATGATAGCCTGCTGAGGGTGACTCAGAAAGTGTGGTGTGTAGTAGGTATTAGCACAGCTGTACGACACCTTTTAAAGCTGTTTGCTTGTTTGAGATTATGCCACATGCCAGCAATAGCTGGTGTAATACTAAGGAGAAAGATGATAACATGCCAACAGATGACATCCTAATAGTACATCGGCTGTAGGAAGATAAACTCAATTTGGTAAGATTATCAACTTGTTGCTGTGAAATTATTCTCAAAGCTGTTCCAGGTTAGTTTAGAAAACATTTTTAAATGACAGCCCTCTTGAAAATCTATATTACAAAATGTCAGATATTTGACAGATTTTTTGAAAATTGTAGATTTTTATTTAGTTTTTCTCTTCTGGTAAAATTTAATATGATTAGTTCCTAGCTTATATTAGAAACTAAAGGAAAATACTTTCTCTACTTCAGAAATAAATCCCTATAAGATTTGTCTATTGGAAAATAACAGACCAATAGCTCTTACAGCTGTTGTGATTTCAATTCAGTTTCAATTAAGTTTATTTCTATAGCGCCAAATTCACAACACATGTCATCTCGAGGCACTTTACAGTTCACCAGATCATCCAATCAGGTGGATTAAAAGTTTTCTATACAAGGAAACAGGTTGATTGCATCGACTCATTGACTCTTCAGCAATCCCTCACACTAAGCGTGCTTGTAGCGACAGTGGAGAGGAAAAACTCCCTTTGAACAGGAAGAAACCTCCAGCAGAACCAGGCTCAGTGTGAGCGGCCATCTGCTGAGGCCCACTGGGGTTCAAGGAGACAGAAGCAGACATAGAAAAAGAAGCATAGATACAAAAGGCAACTGAAAAAGGCGACCCTGTCCAGGAAACACACAGCCAGGCAGACGAGCTCCGAGCCAGCTCCCATGTCAGAGGATGAAGAGAGCACATCCAGTTAGTCACAGTCAGGGAAACAGGACTACACTGAAAAACAGGCCAAGCTCCAACATCTAGAAACAAAGGTGTTGATGGCAGCAGCACAGCTGATATTTCTCTCCAGGATGGAGTCACAGCTAAAACAGGAAGAGACCAGATGAAGCTACTATGAGAAAAAGCAGAGAGAGCAGAACGTTAGAGATTGAACTAACAGATTCTGCAGAGTGGGAGAATAGAGATAGAATGAAGCAGAATGATGAAAAAGGGGTCCCTATGTCCTCCAGCAGTCTAAGCCTATAGCAGCAGAACTATAGAGATAGCGATAGTGATGAAAGGTGTTTGTGTTGAAAATTAAAGCGTTCAAACTTCTGATACACCCAAGGTATAACTCTGTAACACCTGGATGTGTTAATAAGTAAAAAAAAAAAAATTATAATTTTCGTCCCGATCACTGAGTCTGGGAGCGGCCATTTTTGCCCAAATATAGTAACCCCTCCCTCCTGCCATCTTCCAGCAGTGACGTCACGGTGCGGTAAGCCTAGCGCCATTCTCCCCGCTTTCCAAGCAAAATCAGTGGGAACTACTAGACACATCTGCAATCAACAACAATTATTGAAGATTTCCAGAGGACTTCACCATTGAAATTCACCAGAGCTATAGTGAAACTGACAATCCCCACGTGCATGGCAGCTGGATGTTACATCGGGTAAAAATCGGGGATGATTTATCCAATTTGCGCGCATCCATGAACATCAATATCAGGGAGACTCCTGGAACTTCTGGGAAACTTGGGATGTCTGAGTAAAATTGTGGAAAAAAAGAGTTATTCCACCTTTCTGATTCCTGGTCCTCCACGGACGGGTTGGTCGTTGGATCGCCAACTTGTAGAGGGAGGATTTGCCATCGAACTTCTGGCCAGAGAAAAAACCCGTAATATGTAGCCAACATTTGGAAGAAGAATGTTTTCAAGATGACTTGGATAATAGCGCGTTGTGACAAACACCAGATACAGCACTGGGACTTGATCAACAGCCGATACCGCACCGTAACGTCACTAACCAGTAGGTGGCAGTAGTGTTCTTTGACAAACATGGATGCCTCCAGTAAAGCACATTCACATGAAAATTACTCGGAATTAAAAACACTGATCATTTATTGAAAAGTATGTAATATTTCATACTTAAAGTACTTTCAGAAGTTTGTATTCTGAATATAACGGACTTTTCCTTTAAATATGTTGATCTTAAATTACTTTACTCTATTATTTACTAGTGCTTCTAACAATTTATGTGACTTTGTTGACCAGTTTTCAAATTAATGGCAATGAACTCCTGAATTTTATCCCTTTATGTCTATCTTGTCAGCTTCACTTGCCTAAAATAAATTGTTGGTGATGATTCTCAGTCATCCAGGTCATATTCATTAAAAAAAAGAAAGTTAAAGACAATCCACTGGACTTTGTTTCCACATCTTCTAAGTTGGAAACAAAATCTAGTGGATTGTTTTTAACTGAGATAAGTTGTACTACGGGCACAATAACAGACACTGAACAATATCTGCATCCTTTTTTCTGTGAGGTAATGTAGTGGCTTTGAATAGGGCGGGTCAAACTAAAATATAATTTCACCATTTATAACCCATAACCCGTGCCAGAAAGGAAATAAAGAGAGAAAAGGGACACATCTGGTTTCTGAATTACACAGACATGAGTGTGTTGGATTTAATAACCAAAATCAGATATGCAGATTTAGTGCTCGAAAGATCAGATAAAAATAATTGTTTTTCATCTGTATAATCTAACAAAATAAGCTGACTTTAGCTTTGCATTCTCTGAAAGCTGTACATTTTTGTTTAGTTTGTGTTGGTTAAAAAAAAAAAAAACCCCAGTAGCTGATTAGATCCCATAAAAGGAGGGAGCAGGCATAGAGCAGGTGCCCATAAGTGGTCTTCCTGCATCGAATCTATTGCAAGGACCAGTCCTTCAAAGCTGCGCAACTGAAATGTCTAATATCCAAATATGTTAGATTTTTATTTCAGGGACTAAACTGTGGTTTAAAGTGCTTCTCCCTTTTCTCACCATGGCTGAAGCATTAAACCCTGTCCAGATAGGGAGCACCTTCCATTAGTTCAAACTAGTGTTACTCCGATACCAATTTTTGGCCCCAATACCGATACTCGATACCTGGCTTTGCAGTATTGGCCAATACCATACCGATATAATCTGTTTGAAATTGATTAACCACAACTGTAGGATATTTGCAGCAATACTGAACATCTGTTCCAGTTAATAAAACCTATTTAGCGGCTGGTTAAGAAGAAGAAGATCTCTCATTCGTTTTTCCTAGGCTGCTACTAGTGTTGAGCCCGTGCCAATTTTTGGCCCCAATACGATACCTGGCTGTGCAGTATTGGCCGATACCATACCGATATAATCTGTTTGAAATTGATGTGTATTATATATGAAGAACTGCATACTACTTGGATGTAAAAAAATTGCCATCATGGCTTCATGTCAAGCTGCTGCCTACCTTTGTGAAGCAGGAAAAAGACTAAAACAAAGTGAATCCAGTACAACTTTTTATTGCCTACCTGGAATGGGTGACAATAGTTGAAGAAACATTTGGCTCTCAAAATCGTATTGGTGCCCTATTGGTTGGTACTCGCCGATAAAGATACCACCATTTTTAGTGCAGTATCTCAACCAGTTTGAAGCGGAGTAGAGAGGAACCAAGCGAAGCTGCATTTGATCATGGAAAACTGTCATCTTGTCAATGCAAAAGAGGAACAAATCGTGCTTTTCAACAACGTTTCCCCTTTTGTTTTTCAGGATTGTAGGTCACACCGAGCCATACACAAAACTGTGCTGTAAAGGATTCTGCATTGACATTCTGAAGAAACTCTCACGCACCATTAAGTTCTCTTATGACCTTTACCTGGTGACCAACGGCAAGCATGGCAAGCTGGTCAGAGGGATTTGGAACGGGATGATCGGAGAGGTATGAATGACAAAAAGAACAGAGCCTAGCTTTTTTCCAAGTCTGACAAGCAACTTATTATGACTTGCTAGTCAGACTTGGCAAGGTTTTTATGATGGAATTGGAAGCAATCCTGGGTCCCCTACATGGCAGGTAGAGACCTAAAGGGATGCACCATGGGGCATACCTGTTTGAAGGGGCATAGAAGCAAAAACAAAGAAAAAAATCCAAAAACATAAATCCACTTAAAGCTACAGTGTGTAACTTTTAGCGACATCTAGCGGTCAGACTGCAGACTGCAGCAACATGAACATCTCCCCCCCACCGCTTCTCCCCCCCAACAGTACGGCGAGCGTTACGGGACAAAATGTCTTCCACGACGTCCGCATCACCTACCTTCTCAAGTGATGAGGTTTGTTTACATAGATAATTTTACAGATAGTATTTCATTAGTCTGTGTAGGGTATAGATTTCATGTAGACTTAAGATAATAAATATACCCGTTATTTTTTCTACATCGTTGTGACGTTTTGGCAATCTCGCAATCACTAGTTTGTTGGCTCCATGGTTGCGAGACCCGCTCCTATGTAATTATAAATAACGAATTTTAAGGCAACGCAAATATTAAGGTTAAGAGGCTGAGCTCGTAGATGATGATAAATAACATAGTTATGTATAATATATTACATTTCTGACTGTATATCCCTGTAATTATTACACACTGTAGCTTTAACCAACAAAAATACAGAAAACCAGAAAACTAACTTGAAGGGGAAGAAATGCCGACAAACCTGCAACAGTGACTGAGCAGGAGGTGCATATATTGGAGAAAGAAACAAAGACCAGGCTAATCAGCAGATTGGGAGCAGGTTTGAACAGAGGAGTTACGGAAAATGAGACTTACACAAGAGGGCAACAAAGGGGAAACAAGAAATGCCAATCAAAATTTACTAGAATAACACAAAATGGAAATAAAGCCAATGAAAACTCAAAGATCCAACTTAAACAGAACCAGAACCATGACACAGAGAGGTACCAAGTGTTAAGCACTTATAAAACAGCCACAACTGACAAAAGTGCTGTACAGAAATAAATTATATTGGGTACAAGTTAAACCAAAACAACTAAAACATAGGTAAAAATAACATTCACACGATCAAATCTATAAAGCTGGGTAAAGATAAAAGGATACAATAAAATAAAGCCCACTGTCTTGTTAAGTGTCAGAAGCCAAAGCAAAATGTCAGAGAAGAGGCCTGTCTAATGTGCTGAGGCAGGTCATTCCAGAGCTTTGGAGCTGCAACAGTGAAAGTGCGGTTCCCTCTGATCTTCATTATTGTGTGTTTTGATGAGCAAAATGAATCCAAGGCAGATGAGACATTGATTTAAGTTCTTGTGTGACTGGGACTGTAGAGATTAAATATGACCTAATTCATTAACCTTTAAAGTTCTTATTGGAACACAGACTATATCCCATATTCCTAAAATCAGGACAAAAGTAGTGTCGTAAAAAAAGACAAAAGGTTAGCTCCATTCCACCTTAAAATGCAGGAAATAGTGTTTCAGAGAGTCTACATTTCAACATTTTCCAGGGTAGGACACCCCAAGACCCCACTGCGGCGTGCAAAGCCTAAAGATGTGATACACCAAGGAGTCAGCCTATGAAATATTCCTATCTAAAATCCTCCTCACATCAGAAATGCATACGGCACTGACAGAGATTTAACCCAGCCCTCAATTTAGACTCACACCCTTATTTATGTTGTTCTCTTCTAATCTTATCATTTGTTAAAAAACTTTGATATTCATAAACTACCATTTACAAGAAATTCAACCCATTAAACTGTCAATTTGCCTTATTGTGAATAAAGACCCTGGTTGGTGCAAGTAGCTCCCTTCACAATGGGAAGTTTCCATCTTCCTGTCAAATGTTGAGTGCCTGCACCACACAGAAATCTGTCTATAAGTCTTTATTTTGTCAACAGGTGTTCTACAAACGGGCGGACATGGCTATAGGCTCATTGACCATAAACGAGGAACGTTCGGAGATCATTGATTTTTCGGTTCCATTTGTGGAGACGGGGATAAGTGTGATGGTGGCTAGAAGTAATGGAACGGTGTCTCCGTCAGCTTTTCTAGGTGAGGAACCAGTTCTAATATCTTGCTGCTCAACTAAAAACCCAAACAGATGGTATCAATCACCAACTAAGGCTGGATTAGAAGTGGTTGACTTGGACGTCAGTTCTTCCTAACACACCTGTTTTCCTTTCCTTTGCAAAAAAGTTGGATATGAGTGTTTTTTTCCCCCCTTCCCAATCATGCTGTTTGTTTCCACAGAACCATACAGTCCAGCAGTCTGGGTGATGATGTTCGTCATGTGTCTGACAGTTGTGGCAATCACTGTGTTTGTCTTCGAATACTGCAGTCCAGTTGGGTATAACCGCAGCCTGGTCACCGCTAAAGGTAAATCTTATGTAACCCAGGTCCCTTTTAATGCTAGAGCATTTAAGAACAAGGCAATGATCATAACTAATTAACCACTAAACCGGTTAATAACGTTTTTTTTCCTTCTCTATATATTTTTATAAAATTTCTCAAAAGCATAGCTAATGTCAGTGGGAAAAAAGACCATTTCTGGCCGTGCGTTCACTTTGCCACCGTCAGGCTCTATCCAGGCTGCTGTTACTATTTTCTATTCCTTTTCCATCTAAACAGTGGATGAACCAGACTTTGGTTTTCAGGTTTTGAAAGCAGCAAAACTGCCAACCGTCTGAGCAACAAATTAACACAAATGGTATTTTCTGCTAGCCTCGTGAGACCATCCTGATCTCACGAGCTTTCAAGGTTTCACTCGCAGATCAGTCTGGAGACTCTCCGTTAAAGAAAATTTGGAGCCGTTCACCAAACGAACGTCCAATCAGCGTTGGCTTTGAGGCGGGTTGAGGTGTGACGCAACGAGAAGCGCGACAGTTCAGTCTAAAGAACATGGCGGCTTCAGCCGATGAAACTAGCGTTAGCGTGGCTATCGAGCAAGTTTTATCGGAATTACAGAGTATTTCTTCACTGAAAGGAGAGCAAAGCACTGCTCTGGAGGCTTTTCTCAGAGGAAAATATGTTTTTGCTCTTCTCCCGACTGGTTTCGGCAAGAGTTTGATCTATCAATTGGCTCCTCTTCGTCGTCGCTCTGTTAGTACGTCATATGCTTCGTTGATCTGATTGATTTATTTGGCCCGTCTATCACCAACATAGGCCAATCAGCTAACCAGTATTTTCGCCCCTTCCCAAAATTACTTCAACGGAAGGTTTCCAGATGGATATGCGGAGCAAATCCATCTGGCGGAGTCAGGTTAATTTTCTGCATTCCTCTGCAATCGAAAAACCTATTTCAGGTTGCATATTTGAGATGGCACAGTTAACAGGGTTCTATAATATAAATAAATGTTCTAGGTTATACATTAATAGTTATTCGAACAGGGTGTTTACATTTTTATTCTTTTACTGAGAAATAAAACAGACAGAAGCTACTAAAAGCATCAGTTTCAAATACTGCCAGAGCTGAACCTATAGAAAGCTGTAATTCTGGACTCTGGACTCTGAAAGGATCAGCGGTTTAAGAGAAAATGTAGTATGAAAGCCTATTTACAGTGTTCCCACATTGGATCAATTCTTGAGGAATCAAGATACTACGGTTTCATTTCAGCTCCAGTAATGGATAAAAAAAAAGTAGCAAAGGGAAAAGTCAGGGCTTGCCAACTGATCTTTATAGGACATGTCTTTCTTTTTATATTTTATGATTTATACCAGCTTTTACCTTTCAGCTCAGATGATTTCCACTCTGTATATTTTAGATATGAAGTTCTGTGATAAAACATTTCAACAGCAGCACAGGCCATCAAATACTTTGATTTTTTTTTTTTTGGTATTAGATGTTAAATAGTTTGGACAATGTTAGATAAGACGTTTTAAAAGGCGGATATGTTTAGTATAAACTGTAAGGGAAGTGGATTTTTTTTTTTTACTTTTTGTTTGGAATGGCTATGATCTGGATGACTGAGAATCTTCACCAGCGCTCAGATATTATGCTTAATTTTTGTCATATAAGGATAAAACATTTGGTCATTTTCATATTTTATTTTCCCACTAAAACAGGAACTGAACTTTTTTCTTCTTTGTTTTCATTTATTTTCATGTTTAGATCCCGGAGGTCCCACATTCACTATAGGGAAATCGGTTTGGCTACTGTGGGGAATCGTCTTCAACAATTCGGTTCCCATTGAGAATCCAAAGGGCACCACCAGTAAAATCATGGTACTGGTCTGGGCCTTCTTTGCTGTCATCTTCCTGGCTTCCTACACAGCCAATCTGGCTGCCTTTATGATCCAGGAGCAATACATCGACACCGTGTCCGGACTGAGTGACAAAAAGGTACAGACCTTTGTTTTATACATCAGGGTCTTCAATGTTTTCCAGGCCAAGGGCCCCCAAAACGATGGCGAAATGGAGCGGTGACCCCCTAGTTATATATATATTCTATGAAATTGTGTTATATCAAACTGGTCCTATAGTCACTTTATTACATGGATTCATATAATGTAATTTCACCCTGAGATTATTAAAGTATTTCTGATTTGGATTCCTGGTTGATGGGGCAGGTGTTGTGAATGAAACGGTGCTGAAAGACATCTTCTGCCTCCATTTATTTGTTTACTACAGTGTGTTGAATTTATGTTAATGTGGATTTGAAGACATTTTAATTAGTGGAAAAAATTGCAGGGGGAATATTAAAAAAGTCTAATCAACCAAAACTTTTTCAACCGCCATGCAGTACCTCCGTGGACCCCCTGGCGGTCTCGGACCCCCTGTTGGTCTCGGACCCCCTGTTTAAGACCTCTGTTATACAATATTTGTTGTAGTTTCTTGATAGATAAATAAAACACCAAAATGGCCCTTTAAAGCCGAGCGTACACTTTACGATTTTTTGTCCTTTTCCAGCTGATTCTTCAGTTGTGCGGAAATTTTCCGATCAGGCCGACTTTCAGCCTGATGGTGCGTGGTGTAGCATACAGCATACATCGTATGCTACAGAGGTTAATGAGGGGGAATCAGCCTCTAACGACCACCTCCTGATCAGGAATGGAGAGGTCGGGAGAAAATCAAACATGTTTGAAATTCGGTCGGCCGTCGTAATGTGGTCGTGGGCAAATCGTTCAGTGGGCAAACAAGGATTCTTCTTCTTCTTCCTCCATTCAGATGAAAACCCAGAAGCATGGCGGGGGTGCAATGAGTGAAATGGAGTTCTTTCTGGAAAATTGACAGATCATCGTAGCCACGTTTGCTCAGCCATGTCTTTGTCCGAATATGTCATCGCCTTTTCTTTTTAGGGCTTTCAGCACCAAATTGCACAAACTGCGAAGGCAGCGCGTTTCCCTCTAGTGGCTTCCAGATAGATGAGTTTGAGTAGCTTTATTTCACTGCGGAGCTGAGTCTTACGTGGTTTTTAGACGTGCAGTGTGAGCAGGTAGATTGCATCATAGCGTGGGGTCACACAGTGTGAGAACATACTTCCTGACCTGTGAACTTTTACACCTTGCGGCTACATTATAGTGTGAGCTGTAGCTGCGTGCAACGATTGAAAAAATCGTACAGTGTTTGCCTGGCTTATTAGCCTCGTGAGACCATCCTGATCTCGCGAGCTTTCAGGGTTTCACTCGCAGATCAAAAGAAGATAAAAGAAGAGCAAAAGAGATTTGCTCCATGGCGCAGAATAGTGGTGAAAATTGGAAGTTCAGTTTAATATAATACAACTCTGTGAATAGTTCCATCTGAAATGAATGAAAATAGTTGTTTTAATGGTTATAGAGTCAGATATGTGGCGGTAATGTTTGGTTTATCTAAAGGTTTTTATCTGTTACTGTATAAATGGGTTTGGCTGTAATTTAAGGACAGATTCTAATAGAGTGGGAACTATAAATCTGATAGGAGTTTAATTTTTTTATTGTTGTTTTGCACAATATGCTTAACTAAGTATTTTTTGTTGTTAAATATTAGAGATTTTGCAGATATATTTTGTAGATACATTGTTTAAATTTACTTATATATTTCTAACCCTTTTATAGAATACAATAGAAAATCCCTTTATTGTCCCACAATGGGCAAATTTACAGCAGCAGAAAGATTATTGAAAATGGTCACATAAATGAGGACCTTAGAAAAATGTATAAGAATATCATAATAGGGAAGAGTTAAAATATAAAAAATAAAATTCTGTAAAGTGTTTTAACAATATAAAACTGGAGAATTAATAACCAATATGCAGCTATGGACATTTTTACAGTAATGGATATTTGAAAATAGCAGCAACATCAGAGATGTGCAGAATGACAGCAGCAGGTTATTTAACTGACTAAGGTTTCTATCATTACATTTGATTTTATTTGCTCCTGCTCCCGGTGGTTGGAACATTTATTCCACTCTGGATTCTCATCAGTCTTTGTTCACTTTATAATAAAAAATAACTAAATAAAGAAACAGTTTTGAAAACCTCGGTATTCATTCTTTTCCTGCTTTGTGTGTCAACTTTCACGGTTGCTAAGCAACAGAGCATACGCCGGTAAAACCCGCCAAAGGGTAGACCTGTTTACAGACAAAACTCTTCCGGCCTCCTTATTTTCAAGGACTTCGAAGGATCCAGTCTAGGTTAGGGTGACCAGACGTCCCCGATTTCCGGGGACTGTCCCCGTTTTGGACCACCTGTCCCCGGCTAAAGCTGTCCCCGGAAATGTCCCCGATTTTACCGAGGCGAAAAATGTTGCGTGTAGACTAAGGTGACCAGATTTCTGAAATCAAATCTGGGGACATTTCTTGCTCGTGGATAAAAATCAATACATCTTATCGAGATGAAATTAGGAAACGGGGACAGTAATGGTTTCATATATTTTTACGTATTTATTAATATTTAAACAACAAAAATCAAGTGTAAAAGCCAGGAATGTGCCTTTCCAAACGTTTAGTATATCCTAAGATTAATAACATGAATAGTGTTATTAGTAGAAAACTAGAACTGTGTCTCTGGGTTGGGGCAAAGTGGTGGGGGTGGGAGCGGAGGGGTCAAGGGTCATTAGCAGGGCTTTCCAATTTTGGGGGCCCAATGAGCTCTGCCGCCTCCTAAGGGGAGAGTGACATGAGGAAAAGAAATTTAGAAAAGTAAATACAAATATTTATTCTATGCCTGTGGCTGTCTGTTGAGACAGAGTTTCCCCACCTCTTCAAAAAAGTGCAACAAATACTTATTCTGTTTACATCTACTGTACATACCTATAAGAAATATTTTTTTCTTCATTAACATAAAAAAAACAAGTAGTAGTCAAGCCTGCAGGTAAAGGTTCATATATGTTTCTTACTGTCACCTAGCCAGATCAATTCAATTTAGTTTATTTATATAGCGCCAAATTCACAACACATGTCATCTCAAGGCCCTTTACAGTTCAACCAGATCATACAGTCAAATCGATACAAAGTTTTCTATCTAAGGAAAACCAGTTGATTGCATCGACTCATTGACTCTTCAGCAATCCCTCACACTAAGCATGCTTGTAGCGACAGTGGAGAGGAAAAACTCCCTTTGAACAGGAAGAAACCTCCAGCAGAACCAGGCTCAGTGTGAGCGGCCATCTGCCGAGGCCCACTGGGGTTCAAGGAGACAGAAGCAGAGATACAAAAAGCAGCTGTAAAAGGCGGCCCCGTCCAGGAAACACACAGCCAGGCAGACGAGCTCCGAACCAGCTCCCATGCCAGAGGACGAAGAGAGCACATCCAGTTAGTCACAGTCAGAGAAACAGGACTACACTGGAAAACAGGCCGATCTCCAACATCTATAAACAAGGGTGTTGATGGCAGCAGCACAGCTGATGTTTCTTTCCAGGATGGAGTCACAGCCAAACAGGAACAGACGAGGCAAAGCTACTCTGAGGAAAAGCAGAGAGAGCAGAACGTTAGAGATTGAACTAACAGATTCTGCAGAATAGGAGAACAGAGAGAGAATGAAGCAGAATGATGAAATGGGGGTCCCTATGTCCTCCAGCAGTCTAAGCCTATAGCAGCAGAACTATAGAGATAGCTCAGGATAACCTGAGCCACTCTAACTAGAAGCTTTATCAAAAAGGATAGTTTTAAGCCTAGCCTTAAAAGTAGACAGGGTGTCTGCCTCACGGACTAAAACTGGTAGTTGGTTCCCCATCAGGGGCCTGTGTGTCTCAAAGTAGCAGGTTCATTTTTCCTACTAACCTGAGTATACAGCCACTCTGTGTTCCACAGCATACTTTGCACATTACATCACTCGATATGTTAGTTTATCACTCAAATCATGTCAACGCTTTATCACTTGAACTCTATTAATACATATTATACATTTTAAATGTTTGAAACTGAAATATTAACTGAACAGGGTCTGAGGCAGTGGCCCTGGTAATTTGGGTAAAATAATATAAGAGAAGACATAGCAAGTAAAAAGCAAAATAACCTTTTTAAATGTCTTAAACAAGTTTAACCATTGAACAGCAGAATAGGCTTAACATCAACACAATGTATATAATCCAAGAATAGTCCATATTTATAAACAGCAATAACATATACATATATAATTTCCTTCTTTTCACAGCTTCTGTATTGTGCATTAAGGCTTCCTCTTATGTTTCCTGCTCTCTGCTTTACTCCTCAAAGTAAATTTTTCTCCCTTCTTGTCAACCGTTTTTTCTATCAGAGTTCCTAGTTTCCTCCTCTCTCATTCAATCTCCTTTCTGTCTTTCTATCTTCTTCCTCACTCCTCCAGCATCAATCTTACATTATTCTAAAACAGAGACATTATATAATCAAAATCACCTCCAAAAAAATTAGGATGTGCAACATGAAAACTTATTATTATTAATATCTCATCTAAATACTAAAAATGCTAATTACCACAATATTAGGAGCTACAAGCAAAAACCACATAATAAATGAACATTAAACAGGTGGTTATCTCTTCCTCCATCATTCTCAGATCATGTAGATCTTGTCTTATTCAGTTCTCCTGTTACTGACTCCTATTTTTTCACAAGGAACTTTCATATATATTCAAACTGAGCAGTAAAAAAGCACACCAAAAACTGGAAGTCTATGCTCATAAATCACAACCATAAATCATCAAAACAAATTGAAATAACTCTACTTATAATACCTATCTGAAATATAAACTAAAGGTCACCTATCCATTCTAAATCATCTTTATACAAACCCTTGTTGATCCCTGGAGAACCAGCGTACCAGATTAGCGCCTTACAAGGAGTTTTCAATCATTTTGCTACATTTTAACCCAGCGTCTTTTACTCATGCTCAACTCGTGGTCTTGTCTTACTTTTTATTACTGTTTTAACCTGGACACAAACCAA